GGGGGGGGGGGGGGGGGGGGGGGGGGGGGGGGGGGGGGGGGGGGGAGGCTGTTTTCGCCCTCCCCAGGCTCCTATAAAGCCTCTGAAACCTGGGGAGGGCGAAAAAGGAATGCAAAATTGCATTATGGGTGTGGCACACCCACGCATGACCCCCCCTGCGCTTCCCTTGCTTAAGGCACGTGAGCATAAAAAGGTTTGCCATCGCTGCTTTGACTGTTAACTCTAAAGTTGTTAAATATGCAATATGCTTTATTAGTATGTTTTATTATGTGTTAAATACTTTTAGTTCTTTATTCTCCTGCAAGATTGTTGAAAGTTGTCTTTCCAAGTCAGTTGTCTTTTCTACCATATCAGCACTAGTGTCTTCTGATGCAGGAACTGAAGTCAGGTTCTGAAAAACAAATAACACTGAATAAAATTACAAAGATAATAGTTTTCAGAAACTATAATAATTGTGATAGTTTTATATGGTACAGTATAGCCAAGAATCCAATATAATTATTGGCTGATGCTGAATAAGACAAATAAATTCTATTTATTATAAATTATTATAATTCACATATACAAACACACCCAAACACACCCAAGCGTGCACGCGCGCGCGCGCACACACACACACACACACACACACACACACAGAGAGAGAAACTAAAAGGCTAGCAAAATTCTTAACATCTTACCATTTTCTGAAGTTCTTGCTTTTCAACCTGAAGTTTGATTATTTGGGCCCTCAAGTTTTCAATTTCCTAAGAGAGAAAAAATATTAAATTCAGCTGAAGTTATATTTATTTATAGGTCCAAGACTAATCATATTATGGTAAATATAGTAAAAATATTCATAAATTTGAAGTGGGTTTGCTATTGGGTAACATGCAGATTTCTATTTCTCTCAAGTATCACAGAAACTGATTTTATAAATTGAACTGAATACAGGCCAGATTCTTATTCAAATAAAGTATGTTGTTTTGGATAAAAATGGATCAATATGATTCTTAGAGATTTCTTTAGATTGACTTTGATGCCCAGTTCTCAGCTGGGCATAAAATATTTTCCCCACTTCAGATTGGTCCACTTGTAATTTTTATACCTTGAAAATACAGCATAGTAATTTACACTAGAGATATATCCAAATTGGATTTCTACTATGTGTATCTCACTGAGCTACCTATGAAGATACTTTAGCTCATGAAGAATGTGAAAGACAATAAAAGATTGCCTATGAGATCAGCAATGATCTTCATATGAAACACATAATAGAAATCAAGTTGGTTTTCCCACCCTAATTAATCTGACAGAGGGAAAAAGAGAAAACTGAATTGTACAACTAAAAGCCCACACGATCTAGTTCCAAAATCAAGGCAAGGGCACCCTTTTCATTCAAATCATTTTCACTCATCATTCAAGAGCAAGCAATGCATGGTTTCTCCCACTGACCAAATATTTTAAAGTGGGCTATAGGAGTTTCCTACCTTATACAGTTCACTATTTAATTGAGTTTCAGTAGATATATTAGTTTGTGATGATTGTTCTGTTGCTCCTTCCATTGTTGCTGAAAGTTTCTACAAACATCAGACATATAAAAACACCAAATTATTTTAAAAGCATAAGCACTTTAAACTGTTATTCTGGTTTTATATTTTAAAAAAGCAGCAACCAGGATTATAGCTTCAGACAATTACAGAATAATGACTGGTATCATATAGGAAATTAGAAAACTAGCATTTTGCTATACTGCATACAGGAGAGAAAATAAATTATGAATTAAATTTTATATTGTTTTTTTTTTAAATTCCCATGGTAACAAATATGCTGGGAATGCTGAGAAGTATTTGAAATAGTCACACTTAAAAAAAATAGATTCCATTTTTTATGCTATGGGCTTCTAAACAATTATGAGATTAGTAAATCCATAGTATTTCATCTATAAATCCAGGTTCAGTTTTTAAAAATGAAGCTTTATTTGCTGGGATTCCAATTTACTCCTGAGGAAATGAAAATAAAGCCATATAAAATTGGTGGGTAATCTCACATCCTCTATTGCTTGACACAGGTTTCAATTTTATGGATTTAAACCACTGCCAAGGCAGTATGTTAAATTTTTAATAAAATTCTGATTTAAAAACAAGCAAACAAAAATTTTCCATACAAAACCACATTCTATGTACCAATAAGAATTCACTGAATGTATCAATACATTTTATCATCAGATCATTCAAACCTATTATTTAGGCTACATCATTCATTCATTCATTCATTCATTCATTCATTCATTCATTCATTCATTCATTCATTCATTCATTCATTCAGCATACCACTTAATCATAAACAGATAACTTAGAACAGGAGTGTGAAGCTTGATTTCATTGAGGGCCGCATCAGGGTTGTATTTTGACCTTAGGGGGGCAGGGCTGGGTATGGCCAGGGTGGGCACAGCCAGTTCAATGTCACTCATATCGGGGGCACCTGTGGTGGCCTGAGCGCTCTGCCAGTGAAAACAGGCTCCTGAGCTCCATTTTCATCTGCCATAACCTCCTGCAACCCTCTGCCAGTGAAAATGGAGCTTGGGAGGATAACATGTGGTCTCCCAAGCCCCGTTTTCACTGGCAGAAGCACTGCGGGCCAGTCCTTTGCTGTTTCCAGGGTGGCACGCAGGCCAGATCCGGCCCATGGGCCAGGAGTTTAACACCTCTGACTTAGAATAACTGCAACAGTATATAAAATATAACACATGAAAAAAATCAATTGATTTCAATCTGATTCAAAGTTAAAATGCAATAAAAATAACTAAGTGGAAGTATGGCAAAAAAAAAAAAAGGCTCTTTTGCGATTTTCCTTAAATATTAGGACAAACATTATCTTGGGAAAAACATTCTATTCTTGCAGCCTTATAGGGGAAGTTGTGATAGACAGATGAATCTATGGTGTGTGTGTGTGTGTGTGTGTGTGTGTGCGCGTGCGTGTGTGTGTATGGCGGGGGAAGGAAGGTAATCTTCAAATAGCCTATATTGCTGATCATAGTAAAGGGGCAATTCCATAGTGGTAGAGCAATGCCTCTGAATCACCATATTACTTAAATTCTAAAGGTATACATCTTAAAGCATGTCCATAACAGTTAATACATATCAATGCAAATTTTTCACCTCTGTTGTCCTGGTTTTGACAAATATTTTAAAAAAAATCATCCGTGATCAAAATAATAAAATGGAAAGGTTTTATAGAAATCTCTGCAAAATGTACATAATGATCATCTATGGAGATTCTCAATTATCCAGGCCATGGATGAACTAAAGAGCTGAAGAAACATCTTGGATGAGAAGTGAAATGTCTTAGAAGAAAAACCAGAAACTCCAGTTGCTTCTTGAAAAAGCACTTTCAGTATATAACGATCAAGGCAACTCTTGAGAACCTAAGTACATCCTTAATGCCACAGGAAATTATCTGTAAAAACTTACTAACATAGGGAACAATTTTAAATAATTATGTATCCGGCAATTATACGGCTCAACTATTTCATGAACCATGCTTTGGAACCACTTTTTGAGATTTTAGAAGGGCAGTCCTCTCAAGTGTATTTAGGCTTGTGGTCTAGGTGTTCCTTGCACCTAATACAAAGAACAAAAATGTATTGCTTGGCTATATTTCCTTCCACTGATTTGAAGGAACTATGGTCTGTTGTGATTTGGGAGTAAGAAAGAAACAATTTATTAATCACCATTTTAGATCTGATCAGGGAAATCTGATGGCTTCAGACCAAATCAGATGCCAATTACTGAGAATGAAACTTTACTGCTCACCAGGGTTTCAATCAAAGAATCCTTTTCTCTTAGCTGTTCTTGCAGTAATTCCAGTTTGTGCTTCCATTCCTCCATTTCAATGTGCAATTTGTTGATTTCTTCTGATTGAACACCATTCATCTGAGCCATATCACTGTGGGAACTATGATGCTGATTGTCTTTTCCTATTAAGCAGATTATAACATGATTACTTCTAGCATTTCAGATAGAAAATTAAAACATTCTTATTTCCATGTATTTCAAAATTACAATTCCATTAGGAAATTAATGCATAAGAACTAAAATTAGACAATTGTATCAGAGAACTACTTATTGACTCTCAGAGAAATGGAAACAGAAATTCCAGGACAAATAAATACACCATGAGGAATGATATTTAATATTGTTCTAAACATTTCACTTCTTAAACTAGCTTTCCTTGAGGTAAAACATTGAAATATTGGTATTTTATGTAACTTTATTTTTCTGGTCAGTATATTGCAGTATTGCTGAAATGCTTAGAAATGTACTAAAGGGGAGAGGAGGGAAGGAGAGTCCGATTCTCTAAGATACTTCTCTAAGAGCTTAAGTGGATGTGTATGGAAGACTCTTAAGGCTATTTATATATAATATGAATAAAAGATTAATACACAAGAGTTGGATTTCAGAGATATTTTGGTCTATCAGATTTATTACCTGATCAATTGATTGGTAGAAACTAAGAAAAAGACAAAGAAAGAAATTAAAGGAAAAGATGCCTTCTTTTCAAGCTCATCATTGGGTAATAATATTCCTGCAATTTTCTTGGCAGGATTGCCACTGTCTTCTGTTAAAATGCTTTTTAAATTTTCCTGTAAAACCTATAGGGAATTGTCAAGTGGTTTCCCCGTCCTTGGACATTAAACTCAACCCTGCTTAGGTTTCAAGACTGAACAATGTTGGCTGCTGACAGTGAAATGTGAGAAATTTCTTAGCTTCTAAGGCAAGTGGGGAGGGATGGCACTGTGGTTCCAAACTAGTCTATCTGTTAAAGCAACTGTTTATCTGTCTAAATTTTTGTTTCCACCACTATACCTCCCTTTGTTTTTTTGGGGGGTTTCTTGAAAAAAATATTCCCACTCTATAGATCAGTGATGGCGAACCTATGACACGCGTGTCAGTGCTGACACGCGTAGCCATTTGGGGTGACACGCACAGGATTTCATGCAATTCATCCTCGGCTCCTGCACGGCCGCCGAGGATGAAATAATCTGTGCTGGAGGAATGGGGGGGGGCGGGACGTGTGATCTCCCCCGCCCACACTCACTTACTGTATCGCCGCCGCTCCTTTCTGAGCGCAGGGGCTGCTGGTAAGGCGTGCGTGCCATGCGCACACACGTCATCAGCGCGGCGAGGGAGGACCCGCAGGAGAGGAGCGCGGGAACAGTGCGCTGTTTATTTATGAAAGGCTCTACAAATTTAAACTCTGCAAGTTTGAGCATTGCTCACTCCATAGCTCAGCATGCAAAAGCGCTTAATGAGGGAGAATTTATTAAAGAAACTCTCCTAAGATGTGCGCCAGTTCTATTTCACGATATGCAGAATAAAGATGCAATTATTAAGAGAATATCTGAGTTCTCTTGGGGCGGGCTGGAGCGGCATGTTGATGAGGACGTGGAGCTGGAAGCAGCCGACTCCACAGCCCTGGTTCACGGCACCCCAAACAAGTTCAATAATATCAAGGGCAACATACGAAATCGACTGATGAACAAAGAAGTTACTAAGCAGGTATGTTAAATAATTTGTTTTTGGTTTATTAAATACAATTATATATTGCAATTATACATTTTTGTAGTTTAAACTATAAATTGCGCAAAATTATGTTTTTGTCGAAGTGACACACAACGCGAGTTATGCTCGATTTTTTGCCGATTTTTGACACACCACGCCAAAAAGGTTGCCCATCACTGCTATAGATGATAATCTTGATGAAACTCAAGGTGATTGACTTCAGGAACTTAAATAGTCCATTGTCTGTTAATGATTAATGCCAATTCACCACATTCTTGACTTGTATATATAACACAACACAATTTAAATCCCATGGCCTGCAAGTTATTCCTCAGGAAAAACTACATAAAATACTATTAGCATTACTACCTAGCTGTATTTTAAGGAGGTTATATTGGTCCTTGTGTTGCTGGATCTGTGAAACTTGTTGCGTAACTGCTGTCTGCAACTGTTCATTTTGAATTTTAAATGATTCTACTTGTTTCTTCAATTCCTCAAGCTCCTGATCCTTTAAAATAAAATAAAAAGAAACAAAATTAAGTTTGCATCCATTTATTTAACATAATCTATTGTCTAATTATGCCTGGGACCTTGAATCTTTTATCAGATTTCTAACTGAGATGCTAAACTGACCAACTGTACTTGGTTAGTGCAATATAGATAAAAATAGTTTTTGGCGATTCTCTGGAACATGATAAGATAAAAAATGTATCAAGGACTAAACTATTATATTTCTACCATTTATAGGTATTCCTTAACTTAAGATGTAGCAATCGTTTATAACAGCATCAAAAAATGACTTACAATTTGTCCTCCTACTTATATCTGTTGCATGATCTCTATGATCATGGGAAGGTAATTCACTTCTTGGTAATTGGCATGATTTATGACAATTCCAGTATCCTTGAATCACATAAACTGGTTTCTGACAAGCATAGTCAATGAGGGAAGCCAGAATTGCTTAACAGCTACCATTATTCACTTAATGAATGAGTCCAAATTTTAGTGATTGATGTTTCAGCCCAATTGTAGTCATAAGTCAAGGTCTATCTGTATAATAAGAGGTCAGGTCCTCTTTGTGTCAAGAGGACATTCCAAAAAGTAATTCTGGAAAGAGTTTAGAAGATCTAAGGGGTTCTCACTTACTGATCATAATTGAGACTGGCAACTTCATCACTAAATGACATTTTCATAAAGTGAAAAATCATTACAATGACAGTTTGCCAGTTCCAGTGGGTAATCATTAAGTAAATCACCATGGGTTGTTAAGTGTGATGCCATGTGACTGAGACTTGCAAATCCCACCAGCTTAGATTTTGCCAGCTGTGAAGATTGTAAATAGCGATCATAATCACAGAATGCTCCTAACATCATAAATGTGCAGGTTGTCAAGTACTGGAATCCTGATCACTTGCCTGAGGGGACAATGGAGACAATTTGGTAGACTGGTTATAAGTCTCCCATATACATCAATGTCATAACTTTGAACAGTCACTAAATAAGAATTACCTATAATATCTTTCAAGTATGAGAAACAAGTTTGATTAATTGGTGTGTTATATAGCTGTTTTTAAAATCTTAACTAACTAATGGTTGCAATTCTGATGTAGTATTAAATGGAATTTAGGTGATACATATTATAGCAGTGATATACTATACATATAAGACTACGAATTATATAGGTAGTTTGGTGTAGTGGTTAAGATGCTAGAAACCAGAAGACTGTGAGTTCTAGGCTTGCCTTAGGCATGAGATAGTTGAGTGACTTTGGGCCAGTCACTCTCACCCAGTCTACCATGCAAGTTTATTGTTGGGAGAATAGAGGAAAGGAGTATCAGGTATGTTTCCTATGTTAAGTTATATATAAAAAGAAGAGGGATTAAAAATCTAACAATAACAAGAACGACCATGGCCATCCTGCTGGAGGGCAAAACAACAGACTGCATAATGAAATAATGGAGGAAGAGATATCTGTTAAAGTAGAATATTAATTAAATCTGAATGGAATTTATACATGTATATTTTATATATTTTACCCATATATAAAATTTGAGGGCGGGGCTTGATGACACGACATGCAATCTTGGGGCTCCAGGATTGCTGTCGATATCTCTGTTGCTGGACGGTCCTTTTTGGATCTAAACTGTTCTGAAGGAACAGTGATAGAGAAGAGCATGTCCTACTGATCTCAGGGACATCGCAAAGTCCCTGATTGTTCCAGGAGAAAGCTCTTTTTGCCAGCTACAAAAGCAGCAGCCAAAATGGCTGCAGAAGGTTGGGACAGTCCCCTGAAACGGAAGCAGAACAGGAGAGAATGTATCAAATGACAATGTATCAAAATGGTGAGAAAAATCCTTATTATTAGAGAAGAGAAAACCCAAAAGACTTAAGAGTTAAAATAAAACTGAAGACAGAAGGAAGCAAGCGGCGAATTAACCCTGGTTTAAAACTATTGTGTTATC